TTTCTTTATTTAATATATCTACATTTATCATCCAACTTTATTTCAAAAATTCATATCTTTACATGTTTTAATATATAAATTCTAAATACTTGCAATATTAGATATGATATTAGATATTTAATAAGTTATGATGAACTTTTTTTTCAAGAAAGACCTAATGCACTATGCCGATGGAGTTGTTTAACTCAATAAAATACTTAGATCAAATTGAATATTGTTACATTTTATAAATCATAATCATTTTATGAAATTTTTCATCATAATTTATTGATTTATAACTTCAAACATTTAGAAATAAATGTTATTCTTTTATTACAGTTTTGTCTCCAATTTATTTATTAATTTTAGTTTATTTAATTTCTATTAGCAAAAATTTATATGTTTGGGCATATTATTATATTATTATCTTTTTTCTCAATTTAATTATCTAATACTGTTAAAATCAATTAATATTTGTATTTCGTGTTTAATTCTGGATTATTAGTTTTAAGAAATGAATTATGAAAGAATGGTTACGGGTATGAATGGCATTGACCGAAAAAGTTCTTAAAGAAAGAAGGAATATGGGTAAGGAGATAAGAAACCAGAAGAAGTAATTTATAGTGCTGTAAAAGATTCTCAAAAAAGTTAAACAACTAAAAAATGAAATATATAAATATTTATTTTATAGGGTAATTTATTTATCGAAAAAAGACTACTCTGTAAATTAAGTCATATTATACTAAAACATAATTCATTATAAATATATTTTAATGTGTTTTTTATAGTGAAATTATTTTTATGAATTGAAATGATATTTTAACTCCTTTTTAAATAACTTACAGTGTTTATTAAATCTTAATGGTTAGTAAATGATCTCAAGTACATTTGCAATTAATGTAAAAATTATCATATAAATATTTCGATTATTATCGAAAATTGTGTAAAATATATAATCTATTGAATTTTTAAGTATTTATGTTTTAAATAAGTTTGAATAAAAATTATTTGTTAGTTATCAAATAACTGTGATATTATTTTAAAACATAATAAAATTCAATTTTCTTGATATTTTCTGATCTATATTTTTCTTGTTTTCCAATCCCAAGTAGCTAGATATTCACCATTGTAACTTAATGTTCCAAAAACAAAATAATGATTAAAATTGATTGATTATACAAAAACAAGTTCTTAATTTAAATTATTTTGTATTATATTTACATGATAACCATTCTTATTAATTAACAACTGCTTTTCCCTTATATATTATTGAGGAAAGTATTCATGGCAATATATACCATTATTCATACCTAACTCCTTAGTTTTTATAAATTTTCCATCATTATCATTTAATTCATAAATTATCAAATTCTCATCATTTTAAGGCTAAAAAACAAATTTATTATTATTAATAAAACATAATCTAAATCCATAATTATCTACATTTATTGTTTGTATCTTTGTTAATAATTATGAATCTTCAAAAAAATGTGTTGCATATATTAAGATTTTATTATCATAACCACAAGAGATAACTGTATTTTAATTTTCATTCATACTAATTCCATATACAGCACTAGTATGATCAGTTAATTTCTATTTGCAAATCCATTAATTATATTTTTTAATCCAAACATTCATAGTGCTATCATAACTACCAGTAATAAAAAGACTTTCATCAGAATTTATTGTGTAACATATAATACCCTTCTAATGATTTAATAACTTGTAACTTTTTAATGGTTTTGCTAATAGGCACTAAGACCATATAGATATTGAACCATCTAAACTTGTAGAAACTAAATTATTAGACTTTAACATAAATCTTAACATTGAAATCTCATTTCTATGACCTAATAATGTATTAATTAACTTTATCTTCTCTAATGTGAACCAATAAACCTTGATTATTTACAATTCTCCAACTGCTATAGTATTGCAATCTTTACTAAAATCTATTGAATAACAATTCTCAATTTAATTGATTGATAAATGTTATTGTAATTAGTATATAGCTTTCATTTAATCTGAATTCTCTTGTTTATTATTAACAATATTCTTTGGAAAAAATTAATATTTCATATAATTATTAATATGCCTATAATTTTCTATTATTCATAAAAATTGGAATACCTTTTATAACATATAAATAAAAATTTTAATCATTATTATATTATCACAAATGGATACAATTTCTATATAATTATGTATTTTTTGAAATTATTTTATCAAAATTTGTCAAAGATATTGAAAAAAGATAATAATTTGCTTTTCTCATATCAATCTTATTCCTATTTACAATCTGTTTCAACAAATTATGAACTCAAAAGAAATGAATAATCTAGTAACATTCTAATTTTCTTCCATTTTTTCTAAATTTCTTTTTCTCTAATATTCTTTCCAATTTTATAATATGGAATCATCCTTATCTTGTTCCTCCAACATCTATTTTTTTTACTCTTAAATTGAATTCTACTAACATCAAACAAATATTTATTCATACAGATCATTTTTACTTAAAATGGAAATCTTTGAATAATTTGAGATGGTAGGAGATGCTGTGAAAAACTATAAAAAATATGATAAGTATTTATATTGTTACAACTCTTATTGAATCAGTACTTTTTAAAGTGTAAATTATTTGTTACTCTTCTATCAAGTGATTCTATTTCAAAGAAAAAATAATATATCAATTTGAATTAAGCTAAGGATTTATGATAGATAAGAAAAATAATTTTATTAAATTATAATATTTTTTTATTTTTATTGATTACTCTTTCATCTAGCATTTAATATTCTATATTATAATTTTAGAATATATGGAATATTGTCAAATAAAATTGATATTAATGTAATAATAAAGACTAAGATAATAAACAATAAAAATTATTTTAAAGTGTCTAGATAAAATTATTCTAAAGTGCAATTTAAAAGTGAATATCCATCTATTATTATCATTAAATAGAATAATAAAATTCAGAACGTTCCAAATTATAAGAGCCAATAAAAACNATTGAACCATCTAAACTTGTAGAAACTAAATTATTAGACTTTAACATAAATCTTAACATTGAAATCTCATTTCTATGACCTAATAATGTATTAATTAACTTTATCTTCTCTAATGTGAACCAATAAACCTTGATTATTTACAATTCTCCAACTGCTATAGTATTGCAATCTTTACTAAAATCTATTGAATAACAATTCTCAATTTAATTGATTGATAAATGTTATTGTAATTAGTATATAGCTTTCATTTAATCTGAATTCTCTTGTTTATTACTAACAATTTTCTTTGTAAAGAATTACATTTTCAAATAATTATTAATATGCGTACAATTTTCTTTTATTTATAAAAATTGGAATACCTTTTATAACATATAAATAAAAAATTATATCATTATTATATTATCACAAATGGATACAATTTCTATATAATTATGTATTTTTTGAAATTATTTTATCAAAATTTGTCAAAGATATTGAAAAAAGATAATAATTTGCTTTTCTCATATCAATCTTATTCCTATTTACAATCTGTTTCAACAAATTATGAACTCAAAAGAAATGAATAATCTAGTAACATTCTAATTTTCTTCCATTTTTTCTAAATTTCTTTTTCTCTAATATTCTTTCCAATTTTATAATATGGAATCATCCTTATCTTGTTCCTCCAACATCTATTTTTTTTACTCTTAAATTGAATTCTACTAACATCAAACAAATATTTATTCATACAGATCATTTTTACTTAAAATGGAAATCTTTGAATAATTTGAGATGGTAGGAGATGCTGTGAAAAACTATAAAAAATATGATAAGTATTTATATTGTTACAACTCTTATTGAATCAGTACTTTTTAAAGTGTAAATTATTTGTTACTCTTCTATCAAGTGATTCTATTTCAAAGAAAAAATAATATATCAATTTGAATTAAGCTAAGGATTTATGATAGATAAGAAAAATAATTTTATTAAATTATAATATTTTTTTATTTTTATTGATTACTCTTTCATCTAGCATTTAATATTCTATATTATAATTTTAGAATATATGGAATATTGTCAAATAAAATTGATATTAATGTAATAATAAAGACTAAGATAATAAACAATAAAAATTATTTTAAAGTGTCTAGATAAAATTATTCTAAAGTGCAATTTAAAAGTGAATATCCATCTATTATTATCATTAAATAGAATAATAAAATTCAGAACGTTCCAAATTATAAGAGCCAATAAAAACAAATATTATTAAACCTATAATCAGAAAAACAAAAAATAAAAGAGGATTTAATTAATTTACATCTGCAAAATTTTTAGGAAATAGTTAATGTTATTACTTACAACGTTCACAATATACAAGATTACAGTTTTGGCATTTAATTTGTCTAGATTCATCAAAAAAGAAAAGTAAGAGTTAACATTTCTAACATTTTCATTATTGTTTTTTTTAGATTAATTTTCTACAATATTTGCATTAGTTTATTATTCCCTTTTAATGAATACAGATAAATGTGGAAACAAATATATTATTTCCTTTTTATTCAAATGAAATTTTTATTTGCATTTTTCACATTGAATATAATATGATAATCCTTCTTTTATCATAAGTTTACTTTGTAAATGAAAATTAAATTCTTACAGTGAAGCATAAAGAACAGAAAACCTTCCACAAAATTATAATTTTTCTAGCTTTTTGAATTCCTACACAATTCAAAATCAAAAGTTAAATATTTTCCAAGCTGCAACCATATTCGACTCTTATTTGAACTATCATTATTATGAATGAACATCTAATTTCTTTAGTTTATTAATTTCTTTAGTTTATTGATATTTATTAATTATTAAAAATCCATATTTATATTTCTATAAAAAATTCATACCATATTATTGGAATATTACTCAAAATTGCAAGAAATTCTATTGTTTTTAATAATTAAAGTAAGTTATTGGTAATTTATTATATTCTTAATCTAGGTCTAATTAAATTGTTAAATACTTAAAGAATATATCATAATTTATGAATTATAAGTAGTCTCATTTAATATATTTTTTAAATTGTAATTTAGTTTCTTATTTAAATAACTTTTATTTACTTTTATATTCGTATTTTTTTAATAGCTAAATTATTTTACTCTATTCTTTCTTCATCATATTTTATTAAAATTTTTAAAATATCCATGTGCTTTTTATTGTTTGTAAAATATCTGTGTTTAATTTATAATCACATTAAAGTCATATTTAAGTAAACTAAAATAGTTAAGAAATTTTAGAATTATTTATATTTTATGAATCCTTATATTGATCTCAATAGATTATCCCATATAGAAAAACCTCAAGAGTGTGCAGGGAGTTAAGAAATAGATGGAATCTAATGGGATTATACAGACATTCCGCCTAGAAAAATAAAAAAAAAGTTCATAATTTCATATGAAAATCAAAATGAAATAAGGTATATATAGGATGGATCTATTCTAAGAATGTAGCACTTCATAATTAATTTAGAGATTATATCAAAGACAAATCAATAAAATAGGAGGTTTTTACCAATTTGGAATAGATATAATATTTATTTTGGTTTGGATAATATGGAGAGAATAACAAAAAAATAGATAAATGGATAGCCACATGGAAGGGAGAAACCTTAGTAGATGTTGGTGGCTATTACTCAGATAAAGGATTAAAGTAAGGTTTATGGAAAGAATTAATAAAGAATTATTGGAGGTTAATAAAATTTATTTTTAAATAGTAAAGCATAGGTGTATGAAGTTGGAAAATATAAGAATAATTTGAGGAAAGGAACATGGAAATACATTTATAAGGATTAGGAGATGTATTAAAAATTTACTTAGTTTAGTGGTGGAGGAAAATACAATTAGTAAGGTTAAAGAAATGGTAAATGGATAGAGTTGAATGATTAATTTTCTTAATATTCATAAATTACCCATATTGGTTTATATCAAAATGGTAAAAAAGTTGGTAAATGGGATATTTATTATAGAAAAGATGAGGATCAACCATTTTAACTTATGTAATCATATTATGAATGAATTATTTAGTGGGGGTGGATTATATGATGAATCAGGTTCCATGAAGATTGGAAAATGGAACGAACTAAGCATAGGATATGATAATTTTTCTTAAATTATATATAGAGGTGAATATTCAAAAGGTAAGAAGGTTGCTAAATGGGATATTTTATTTCGAAAAGATGAATAGGAAACATATGAACAATTGTATTTCTTTCAATTAAATTGTTTAGAGGAGGTGGATTATATGATGATGAAGGTCATAATAAGATTGGATATTGGACTGAATTAAGCGACAAATTTAATTCTGGCTCGTAAATAGTTTTTTATGGAGAATATTAAAATGGGAAAAAAATTAATAAATGGATTACTAAATAGGAAGGAGAAGAGATGTAACATTATTTTGTTTTTTAAATAATTTTTAGTGCTGGGGGATCATATGGCGAAGGAGGTTAAATTAAGGTTGGAAAGTGGATTGAATTGAGTGAAGGATACGGAATATGGTCCTAGGTTATTTATTAAGGTGAATATAGAAATGGTAAGAAAGTTAGTAAATGGGAAATATTGTAGAGGATGAAAGGAAATGAAAAACTTGAATAAATGTAAAAATAAAATAGAAATTTAGAGGTGGTGGATTATATGATGAAGTAGGTTCTAATAAAATTGGATATTGGACAGAATTGAGTGATGAATTTAAAGAAGATTCATAAATAGTTTTGTATGGTGAATATTAAAATGGGAAAAAAGTTAATAAATGGATTACTAGTTTCGAAGGAGATTATTTGTAACCTTATCTAATTAATAATAAATATTTTAGTGGTGGAGGATCATATCATTAAGCAGGTTCAATTAAGGTTGGAAAGTGGATTGAATTGAAAGATGGATTTGATGAATGGTCTTAATCTATTTACTATGGCGAGTATAAAGATGGTAACAAAATTGGTATTTGGGATATTTTTTTTTAGAAACCGCTAAAGCAAGAATTGGAAGTGATGTAATTATCATAATAAAATATTTTAGTTGTAGTGGATCATATGATAAAGGATGCTAAATTAAAAATGGAAGGTGGATTGAGCTTAGTGAAAGATTCAGGGATAATTCTTAAGTCACTTATAATGGTTGTTACAACAGAGGTACAAAAGTTGGAAGATGGGACATCTTATAGGAGGGAATCAATTAGTAAATAATACGAATTAGCCTAATTTTAGTGGTGGAGGAGAATATGATGAAGATTCATTAAAGATTGGAAGATGGATTGAATTAAGCGAAAGTTTCTCAAGTTCTTCTTAAATCACTTATGATGGTGAGTATAAAAAAGGAAAAAAGGTTGGTAAATGGAATATTTATTATAAGAAGACTTATGAAACTTATAACTACGAATATATGTACATAAAAAATAATATATATTAGCGGGGGTGGATTTTATGATGAAGTAAAGATTGGTAGGTGGGTTGAGGAGTGCGATAGTTTTAATGAATATAATTAAGTCATTTATATTGGCGAATATAAAAACTGCAGAAAGGTTGGCAGATGGGATATTTTTTACAGAAAGGCAGGCCAGCAAAAATTTGAAAAAATGTAAATATTGTTAGATAAAAATACTAGTGGTGGTAGAATATATCATCAAGAAAATTCATCTAAGACAGGTTTGTGGATTGAATTGAGCAATAGTTTTAGTAATGAATTGTAATATATTTTTCATGATGAATTGAAGAAAGGGAAGTAAGAAAGTCAATAGATGGAAATGGATTTGCAATCTAATAAAATAAGTGAATAAATTCAATATGATAATTGAATAATAATCGAAGTATTATTATAAAAATAGTTATCTTGGCTATTAATTGTTCCTTAAGTGTTGTTGTTGTAGTAGACTTTAAATATTTAAAAAAAGTTTTTTTTTTTGAGTTACAGTGAATATTTCTGATATTCCATTAATCCTACCTTTTTTTGATAAATGAAAACATCTCAACATGTCTTAAATTTCTTCAAAAATGAGTAAATTTACTCATTGTAATCACCATATATTAACATATATCTAAATAATTAATCAAATAAACTATGACTGGTCTTTTTTTTGGGCATTTAAAAAACAAGATTGAAAGAAAAAAACGTAATTTCTCAAACAAACAAAAATAGTATTAAATAAGTATATTAAAAATTAAAAATATGTAATAAATTATTGGAGCTTATAAAATCCTATTTGAAGACAAAAGTAGATAAAATTCCCTAATCAAAAAATAAATTATAAGAGAATAAATTAATTCAAATAAAATAATAATAAAACAGAAAACTAACAATAAATTATTCTAAAATTAACTTAAAAATTAACATGTAAAAATAACATTTATAACTTTTATATTTATTCTTCAATAATCAAATTTTATTCAACCATCAATTCTTCCTTAGATCCATTTGCGCCCAGGTACTATTCACCATTTTGAAGTCTTAAATTTGATTTATTTAACCCATCATTCAACTCGATCCACATCCCAATCTTTATGCCTTCCCCTTTCTCGTATTCGATCTTCCACCAATTTATTTTTTTTTAAAATAATACTTTTACATCTATTAAAATTTCGAATTACTCTCAAAATAAATATCCCATCTACCAAATTTTTTGTCATTTTATATTCACCATTATTATAAACTTGTGAATAATCATTAAAATTTTCCCACAATTCAATCTATCTTCCAATATTAATCCCATCACATCCTTCATCATGCATTAAAGAACCACTTTTTGTAACATTTATAATAAAATCATTGTACATCTATTAAAATTGTTCAGTGCCTTTCTCTATATTAGAAATTTTCCATTGACCTACTTTTTTCCCATTTCTATATTCACCATTATATATGACTTACTTATATAAACCAAACCCATCTCTTAACTCCATCCATCTTCCAACTTTTATTGAGTCTTTTTCATCGTAAGATGCTCCAGCACTTATGCATGTGTTTAAATTTATAATTTTACATTTTTATTGCCTACCCAACTCCAAAAACTCTCCGATTTACCCACTTTTTGATTATTTTTATATTCACCCTTATAGGTTAATTTTGAATCATCTTAAAATCCATCACTCATTTCAATCTATCTTCCAATCTTATTATCATCACTCCTTTAATCATATAACCTTCCCACCACTTAATATATTAATAACAATTATTTACATCAATTAAATTTGTTCTTTATTGGCCTCTTTATACTAATTATCCCATCTACCAACTATTTTATCATTTTTATATTCACCAATATAACTTATGTATTATTCTAAAATCTATCAATCAATTCCATCCATTTACCATTCTTTTGACCTTTAAATTGTATTTTCCACCCCCACTACATAACTATTGATTATTTTTAATACATCTTTCTTTATAATTATAATTCACCCCAATTATTTTACCTTTAGCAATTAACATATTCTCAAACTTCATAAATTTATGCTTGACTTATAAATCACTAAATATCTTACAATTGATAACTTTTTATGATTTCCTTCTTTTTCTCCATCATTTTAGTCAATATTTTAAATAAATTATTGATTATTTATGTATGGGAATATCTTGGTTTCAACAAAATTGAGATAAAAATATTCAGATTCTGATTTGAGAGTGAAATAGTTTAGCAATGCTAGTCAGGTAGAGAACTTTCAACCATTATTCCAAGTAAAGTATAGATATTTTTAATATTCTTATGATAAATGTGATGATAAAACAAAAATCTAATTATTTTTGTTATTAAAGTTTACTAATCACATAATGATAAGACAAAATTAATGAAATCTTTTCATCTTCATTATACTAACCTAACTATTCAATCTTGACTTCTCTTCATATCTAACTACCTTTTATTCTGTCTATTTTTATCAATTTTATAATTATGAGAAATATCAATTATTCTTATATAATGTTTGATATTGTATTAATAATAAAATATTCATTCATTAAGCTATTTTAGGCAAATTTATCCAGTGTTTAGATCTTATGTTACTAAAATTCAACCATTGTTACTAATAATTCTTATTTATTAATCATCTTCAACAAAATTAATTTTGAATTAATTGAAATTAATAAGAATTACTTTACTGTTATAAATTGAATAATTATTATATTATTTTAAATAAATCTTTCAGATTAAAAGTTAATTTATTTTTTTTTTCGAATTATTTATTATTACGATTTTAAGTATAAAAACAAATTTAATTATTTTCAGAAGATACAAATTACTTATTCTAAATATATTTAGCAAAAAGCTTGTTTTCTTAAATTTTATAAAATATCCCTTTTTTTTACCTAATTTTAGACAGCTAAAAATAATAGTATTCTCAGCACTTAAAAATCAATACCCTTAAGAAATTAAACTTCTTATCATTCCCATTAGTCATCATACCTTTTTTGATATATATTCCCAATTATAACTAGATTTAATTTAGAGAGCAACATAAAAGATTCATCTTTCATTTTGAATAATAAATCACAAATAAAGTCTTATTATAATAACTATTAGTTTAATAAGGGACAAATTAATTATAAATCTAATGAAGTCCTAATTAAATAAAATTATGGGTCAAAGATAAAAATTGATCTGTGTTATTAATGAAAAGTAACTTAAAATGTTTCTCTTTTTTAATTATTTGTATTTCTTTAAAAGATTAATTTTTAAACTCATAAATTTTGATACATCTCTAAAATCCACATATAATTGTAGATAAATCTGAATTTAAAATTATTGTTTAACATGTCTCGTTTTCCTTTATTTTACATTACTTTACAAGTTAAAATTAGAAAAGAACCATCTACTGTATAATGTTAATTATTAATTCTTGTTCACTTGAAATTTAACATATTATTTTATTAATCAACAAGTTTTTTTATTTATAGTTATAATTAATGAATACTTTCATAAAGAGTTTGACGTAATCTTTAAGTATTTTAGTTAAATTTCAACATAAATCTCTTCTGGTATTATTTGAACTTAACCATATTATCCAAGACTATATTTCTGTTATTTCCCTTAAATATTTTACCCCATCTAATTTCCATTCAAATTTATTATATAAATGTAACTCTTTGAATAAATAAAAAAGTTCTTCATATATTTTATCAAAGTCTTCGATTATCTCTTTAAATTAAGCATTGACTTCTTATAAATAATTAGGAAATTCATTTATTTTAAATAAATACTTATTTTTAAGAACGTTTTTTGATCATTCTTTATACATTAATTAAAACAATGAATACTATTGTTGTTGCAATTTTCATCTATACAAAAATAATCATAATTTCGAATTGTGGCATAGGCATTGTATCTAAAGCATAGAATATTATATAAAATATTTATTATTAAATTGCAAAAATTTACTTCAAATTATTTATGCTTGATAGCAAGGATCAAACTCATAAATCATTAATTTCCATTTTAACTATTCGGAAACAAGATTATTCTTTCGAAGGGAATGTTACCAAAATAATTTGAAACCATTTTGAGATGATATTAGGGTTAAGAAAAATGTTTATTTGATTTTTTATTCTATTAATATTTTTCAAGTTTAAATATAATAATTTTCATAAACTTTTATTGGCAATATGTCAAAGCTTAGTTATTAAAATTCAATTAAGATTAATTAAACTTAGATATAATTTTTTCATTCCATTCCAAACCAAATAATAATGACTAAACAATATATACATAGTTTATCAGGTTAGGTAGTTTTAGGCAACAATTTTGATAATAATCTTCTTCTGTATCACCTATTTGCTTGTTTAAATGATATGTTAAATCAAGCAATTTGAATTTAATAAATTGTATTCTAATATTTTATCTAATTTTATCATCAAATACAATAACAATGAGAAAAATATTTAATTTTCTTAAGACCTTAATTTATACCCGAAATATCAAATCCTAATAATTTAAAACTTTTATCTTATATCAGCTAAGCTAAATTAACAATATTCAATATGATTCAAAATATATTTATATTAAGTCCTTATTTATTTTTAATCATTACTTATAATTAATAATCTAGAAATAATTGCAGGAGAATTACCTTCTTTAATTTATTTTAATAGCCTAGAAAACCCTTTAAACAAGACAAAATAATCAATTGATTGTTAAAACAAAAATAAAAATTAAATTTTCAATTCTAATTGAATTCATCAAGGGATTATGTTATGGCAGATGTGCCATAATCCGTTTCATATACTATATTAGAGAGCTCCATAAATAACCTTGTTTGGAATCTTAAGAGATCTTCTCACAAATCTCATATTCTAGAATCTACTCAAATTATATTAGCTTAATAGACCTATCTAACAGGGTACAATAAGGACTATAATTGGATGAAATATTAAATTTACGTTAAAGAAGCAGATGGCTAACCTTTTTAACTCTAATCAGAAAAAATATTCCTTCTCGAAGAATCAGAAACTTAAAATACATTAATTTCTAAGGCATTGTTGATCTCTAAGAAATCCAAAGAATTTTATAATCTAGTTCATCACTTTAGAAATTTAAATCCTTATAAAAAGGAAGGTTCAATTATGAATTTTATTTAACTATTGAATATAGGGGTTATTTTTGATCATAAAAAATTTATTCCCTATATATCTTAGATCATCTCTTAATCCAGCAAGTATAACTATTTTGTAGATAAATTACCTTAAAACTTTAAATTATAGATTAATGAGGAACTATGGAAAAATTTTGTAGTAATAAGAATGCAGCAATTATACTAAAACATCTGGTTAAATATATTAATGAAGACTTTTAGTTAGACCTGAACTTTGAGATGATATGCAAACTGTATTACTTCTTCTCTATTAGATAGGTTCCTTTGAATAAAGTTCATCCAGCTATCCTTCTTTGGGGATAACTAAGACCAATAATGTTCATCAATCATTTAGTTGTTCAAATCACATAATGTATATAGATATTAAGGAAATATGTTCAACAAAAAATTAATGCTTCTTAGATTTGTTTCATCTATTCTTTGCATATTGCATCATTAGTTAGAGGACTCTAATCTCAATTAAGAATAAGGTAAAAAGCAAGAACTACTATTTTCTTAGATATATCTAATGTCTATAATACTGTTAGAAGAGAGAAAGTGTTTAAATTATTAAGGGAAGAGAAGAAATTTGGGGATTTTCTCAATTAATAAAAACTTCATGGTTTGAAATGGATTTACGATCAATTGCAGATAGATTATCAAGTTGAACAAAGGAAATTTTATTTTTAAATAGAGTTCACTATGGATCCGTACTTGTGCCTCTCCTTTTTGATGTATATTTTGGCTAATTAATTGAAGAGTTATAAAGGAGAGTTAGACTAATAATGCTTTCAAGAAAGCTAAGAAAAGAAAAATGTGGGAAAAAAAATTTAACATTTAAATAACTTAGATGAACAAAAATGTTTGGGTATACTGATGATATGGCAATATTGACTTTTGGGCCTTAGGTAAGTAAGATGATTGACATTTTATCGAACAAGCTTATAATAGAACTTTTAAGTTAATATATCAGAGTCTAATTATGTTGCTAAATTGAGGAAAAAGGAGATCTGAAAGCAATCGTTGTAATATGAGTAGGATTGGATTAAAATAAAAGATAATGAAATTAGGAGTAAAATATTTGAAATGAGTGAAAAAGATAAACTTGTCAATAGAGGTTTAAAGATTAAATACATTCCTAATAAGAGTTATCTCATTTAGGAAGTTTTGCATATAAATACTTAGTAAAGCAGGTGAAATTGGAGAGCCCCAGGGTATTCAATTAGCAAAGTACCATTTGGTTAACAGGGAATATTTAATATAGATTTATATTAATAACATTTGAATTATTACCCATTTATTATTTTGAAGAATAAAGATGAAAATAATGAATAATTTAACAAATTCATTTAATATCTATAAATAATTTTATAATCATTTAATATTTTTTAAATAATAGGCATTATTGTATTTCCAATTATTAATACTTAATAATTGGAAATACAATTAAGAAATTTTGAATGATGACCAAAAATCCTTTCTCTTAATATATAGATTATCTATTAATCAAAAAAATGTTCTTTATGAAGCCAACACTATTCTGCCTTTTACTGACTTTCGGGTATAGGCCTTTGACAATTACAATACCTTTAAAGAAAGAAAACTTGTTAGGCCCTCATACTTTCTAAATGTAAAAAAAGTCAGTACTCTAAACGAATATTTAAATATTTGTTGTAGATCAAGATATAGTTAGATATTATACATAATATATAATTATGCTTATTTAAGAACATAAAAAGTATAGATAGAAATAGTAAAGGCTAAGCTTTTTTCTAAAAATTTTAAAGAATTATATAAGGATGGAAATTAAAATAAGATACCCTAAATTATTATATTTTATATCTAAAAAAGAAATTGGAAAGTTAAAAAGAAACAGAAAAAAAAGCTGTTTCTTATGATTTAATTGAATTACAATACTTTAATTTAATTAAATATTAACCAGGAAGATGTATAGCATAGATTAATTTCTTATTTGCAATTAGATTGGTGCCACTAAATAAAGCTCATCCAAAATTCTATACAATTGAATAATTAGACCTATTATGGCATAATAGCCTTTTTATTAAAATTGTCGAGATTATCTATGTACAAAAATTAATGTAGAATTGTACATTGGAAATATACCCAGTTTAGATTGGTTTTGTTAATACCATGTTAGGTCAATAATTGAGAAACTCGAAACTAAATATTTTGATCGGAATCAAAGATAGTCAAATCTGTGATCTTCTTTCATCTTTCTGATGATTATAATTGTTATAATTGTTTTGATAGCATCAAGCTATTTCAAATAATGATGTTGAAAGAGAAATATAATAAACTTTTTCTAGATAGGGTTATTGATATTCCTGAATTGATTTATAGTAATTTATTTAAACATGATCCAATAAGAAAGGAAAGAGTTTATTTAAAAAATGAGTGCATTAAGGTTCACTTCTTAAACCCTTTCTATTTGAAAGTTATTTTGATGAACTAATTGAATTATTAAAAGAATTAAGGATGTGAAAAATGTTAAAAAAAGATAAAATCAAATTTTAATACTCGCAAATACGATTGCATGCATTTGCTGATACCCGGCAATAGTATACAATTAGAAATATTAAAAGATGTAACAAATTTTGTAATTAAAACAGCTGAAAAAAAGGAATATTTAAATGTATCAAGAAAAAACAAGATATCTAACTGCTGCAAAAATTTTCTTTAGATAATATGGAAAAATTAAATAAGAGAAATTTTTTAAATACCTAATGTGGAGAATAGGAGCAATATTCCTAAATAATTAAATTAAACTAAGAAAGTAATAAACCACCTTATACATTAATTAATTCCATTAAACAGATTACTTTCACTAAGGCATAATGTCATAATTATGGAATACTTACATTAGACCACATTTCTAATATTTTTCACCTATTCTATATGCTGATCAAATTATTAAAATGAAGTATTTTTAAAATTAAGAAGATCTTCATTTAATATATTAATTGGATTACCTAAAATAGTTTCTCATAAAGTAATTAATAAGATTTGGGAATTATTTGATTTTACAACATAATTTACTTAGAAATTGAGAGATACTAATATTTTGTAAGAAATGGGAATAACTATGCTGTAATACTGATTTAAAACTTTGAAGGAGAAGCTAAAATAAGAAAAAAGAAAGAATATACAAATATCAAAATTTGAGATATTTTGATAGATTCAAATATATACTTCAACTTGTAACCTCAAAGTAATAAGATTACATCCTTAACATGATATTTAGTGGCAAGATGAAATATTATTTTAGGAATTTGAGGATTTAGATGGATTCGAATAAAAAACGATAGAAGAATAAAAGTTGGAGCTAAATATTCCTACCAACCTTCATTATGTGAAAAATATCAAATTGCCAATTGAGAAACTAAAACTTTCATGAAAAATCAAACTATGAAAGTAGCATAAAAGAAAAAAAGCATAATAGATTAAGCTATAGTTATTTAATGTTAAATTGTTGAAATTTTGTTTTGAATGTTTCTGCATGAATTTATTGTTATCAAAACTTAATAAATCAATCAGTTATATAATGAGAATAAACTGTCAATTACGATTTTTATAAATATATATTATAAATATATAAAAAATGATTTAGTAATCAAATTCAATGCTAAAATGCTTAAAAGATAATCATTTGGATGAGATAGACATAGTTTGTTTTAACTAATTCTGTACAGAATTCAGATTAAATTGTTTTAAATGTTTAAAGTATGGAAGAATCCATCATGATCATTTTAAAGATGTTGAAAAAATCAGCACCTTAATAACATATATTGAAAATAAAAATCAAGAATGTGATAATTTTATTGAGGAACTCAATAAATATGTAGAAAGTGTGAATCAAACATTTTCTTCATTAAAAATGGGAATCAGATTCAAATATTCATTATAAAAGGAATAATTAGTGAATTTGAATTCACAGCAAATAAATGATTATTTGAATTAAAGTTTGAAGTTAATTGAAAAAAAATAATTAATAACAACAATCATTTTAGAATAGACTAAAAAATTAAATGATATATTTAATAATTTATATGGAGAATTATAATTATCACAATTTAATTATTATTAGATTGATGAGAATTCTAAAATATTATCCAAAGAATTATTTTATTAAGGTAATTACATTATATTAATCCCTAGGCTATTAGTTATATTGGAATGATAAATATGACTAGGCAATAGAACTTTTTGAATAATCAATCCTGAAAAATCCTTATAACCATTAATCATTATGGTGTAAAGGTAAATATAAAAATAATTAATAGGTGCATGTTTAAGATTTCTTGGTAAATATGAGGATGCAATCATTTGGGTGGACAAAGCTTTAGCGATAGATTCTAAAGATGTTGATTACTTATATGAGAAAAGTAGAGTGAATAATAATGACATTAATAGGTGTGTGCTTAAGAAATTAAAAAAAATATCAGGATGCAATTGTTTAGATAGATTTAGCATTATCTATAAATTCTAAACATGTTAATTCCTTACATGAGAAATGTAGATTGAATCATAATTATATTAAAAGGTCAATGTTTAAGAAATTTAAATAAATATGAGGATGCAATCATTTGGATAGAAAAAGCATTAGCTATAGATCCGAAAAATGTTAATTCCTTATATGCAAAAAGTAGATTGAATCATAATTATAATAATAGGTTTATGTTTAAGATTGTTAAATAAATATGAGAAAGCGATAGCTTCGTTAGACAAAGCTTTAGCTATTGATCCAAAGCATGTTAGTTCTTTACATGAGAAAGGTAAATTGAATAATAATTAATTGATTAGGTGAGAGTTTAAGATAATTAAAAAGATATAATGAATCCTTATAATTACTGAATAAAGCACTGTCCATCAATCAGAATCATACATTTTCTCTTATATCCAAAGGTATCTTATCATCTAATTTTTAGGAGATTGTTTAACAGACTTAAAAAAATATAAAGAAGCTCTAATTTGTTATGAAAAATCATTAACAATTGATCCAAATGATCAATATGTAAAAAACAAAATAGAAAGAACTAAATTATTAATTTGAAATTGTTAGCAGAAAAAGAATCAATGAGTATTTAATATTTAAAAACAATAATATCATTCTATATTTTTGATAATTGCTAAATACTAACTATTAAATTTTTTGCTTCAATTTATTAAATTTTAGATTGATTTTGGCTTTATCAAATCATATTTAATTATTTTTTTTTTGTATAAGGGAGCAGATATATGAAATAAAAGAAATATATATTAATTCATTCATTGATATACAGCATTTTCCATTTCAAATTTGTCTGCCCATAAGTGGACTGATTCACTGGATCAAACGTAAGAGATAATGGGCCCAGCGCTTTGAATATGGGAGGAGTTACTTGACCTTAGGAATGTATCTTCTCCTTACTTTGATTTGAAGGGGATTTCCCTAATTGCATTAGGGCTTGAAGTATTTAAGACCGAATCACTTATGGCCTGGGAAACCTTCATCACCCTTGACCTCAAAAGGATAAAAAAAATAATTTTATAATAAAATTATATATATGTATTATTAAAATTTATTATCATTTATCAATTTCGACAATCATCCAATATCCTAAACTAAAATTACATTTATTGTTTTACTCACTTTCAAGTTGGAGAGATTTATGAAGTTTCATAATAATTATAACTATTTTCTTTTACTTTCCAATGATGTGACAATTATTAACTATTTAAGTACTTAACTAATAATTCTTCAATGGAATATAATTTATTGAATTGACATAAGTCTTAAAGATGAAATAATATAATTATTTTGCGATGTAAAGTAATATAATAAAAATTCTTTTAGTTGTGTGATCAATTATATCTTAAAGTTATTACCAAATATCTTCAACTAATAGTTAAGGTTTTGGACAGCCAAGTGAGTAACAATCATCAATTAAATTTAGAAATAAATATTTAATGAAGTGTTGGCAAGTGAATGAACTCTTCACAAGTGCCTATATTAGAACATTTTTTTGTGCTTACATCTGCATCAAATGAACATTTAGTTGGAGTAACTGCAATTATGAACATTTCATTGCACTATATAAGTTTCTCTTTAGCACCAGTTCGAATTGTGTATGATGAACATTAACTCAAAGTAGTGTAACAAAATAAGTACGCTCAATTTAATTTATATAAAGTTGTTCTATTGTAATTTTTACATAAGATATTGTTTAAGAAATTCACCCTTAGATTACTCTAGCTGAACATGAACCTGTAAAGCTGTAGTATATCTCTATAAATCACCTGATTTTGTAGAAATTTAATTATAATAATTCTAATTTTACGTATCATCAGTACTAGTAAGTGTATATCCACAACTAGTAGCTATACTTTGATTACAAAATAGTATCTCCATGTTTAAATCTTCAACTTGTATAAGCTGTTCATGGAGCATTTATATCTACAAAACTTTCATTTCCATCATATAAACATTCTGTAAAATCCTAGCAAGTTGTATTATCTACCAGCTTTCCAAATATTACATGCTGCATGAGATATAAGTGAAGAATCAAAATCAATACAATAATAATATCTACATGTTTCTCCCTCAAGTTTAAAAGAAACTGGAGGTATGTTGTAGTTTGACACTTTATCCTAGAGTTATAGCTATTTTCTAAGTCCAAGAGCATCCATATGATTAAGAATCTGAAGATTATTTTAATTATGTGCTTCATCACATTAAATTTTTGTTGTCACAGACACTTAGTTAACTTATTATTTTCTTTTTAGATTATCAATTTTAATTAATATCTTATTAAAATACAAAATTATAATTTGCTATTAATAAATTTGTTAAATATAATTAATGTATAATATATATAATATATTAATGAGAATCTGCACTCTAAAATAAAATTCTTATAAGAGCCATTTTCCATTATAACAAGGTTAATCTACCCTTTGCATCAAGGTACACATTTGTTATTAATAAATTAATTTTAGTAAATATTTGTAGAATACAAAAAAGAAGAATAATATTTAAAAATAACATAAATTGTAGCAATAGAGTAGTTTTTATAAGCAATTTTTAGAATGTCAATCAAGGATTTAGATCTTATATCTGTGTTTTAAATTACATTTAATATTAATTACAAAGAAAGTACATCAAATTTCAAAAATATTAAAATCTGCATAATCTTCGTATTTTAAACAGATACTCTCGATTCTGATTTGAAAATATTCTAATCGAAAAATATAGAGGATTGTCTATATTCTAACTTCTTAGGGGAAAGTCATAACTTTATTAACAAAGATGCAATCAAATTATTAAGATTTTATTTAGATAACTTAGAAGTATAGCCTGTTTAGATTGTCAAAGTTAGCATTTATGTTTATATTAAAGTAGATTTTTAAAATGAGATCCGCCTAATTATTAATTTATATCAATATATCACCCTAAAATTGATAACAATTTATATCCTCTTTATCAATAAAATCCTTTGATGTGAGAAGATAAGCTGAATTAAATTATAATAATTAAACTTTAGAAATAGAATGTACATTAATCTTAAGTTAAATTTAAAAGAATAAATTTTTTGATCATTCTCAGCATTTTAGTTTATGAAACAATATCTTTGTTTTGTTTTAAAATATTTTTCCTTTTTATTTATTATATAAATAAAATTGAGCTATATTTGAAATTGAAAAAACTGAAATGTCAGAAAAAATCTTTGCAATAAATAATTTTTGATATTATTATCTAATATGTATAATAATGCTTCATAACTTTGATAGTTATTTCTAAATGTAATTTTTGTCATTTGATCCTTTTTCCAATGCAGCCAAATAAAACTGTTTTGCTTCTGATTTCTTCCCTATTTCAAATAGTGAATCAGCTAAATATAAATTAAAGTTATAAGTACCTTTACGTTATTATCTTAGAGGATTAATATTAAAAGAAAGAGCTTAATCGTAACATTAGAGTGCATCATAGTATTTCTATAATTAGTGTAAGGCATAACCTAAATTATAATATAATTTACCTTTGCTACTCCACGCTAAATCAAACTTAGGATTTATGGAAATTGCTTTGTCGTAACATTCAATGGCTTCTTAATATTTATTCAAATTATTTA